TGAAAAACCTTCTGGAACCTAAATACAGAACTGCTGACCAAATCTTCTCCCCTTCTCCTCCAGTCTGAGGAAGCTGTTTACCTTCCATGCCAATAAGAAGCAAGTTAGAAGTCAGTTGGCCCCAGCCACGTTTCCCTTGCTGCTTGTTAATCCAGTTCCAGTTGAAGCCAAGGAAATCCACCACAATCTTCCTTCCAACTGTGTCGTTCAGGGTTTGCTGCAGATATAACCTGTAATTTAGAGAAATTTTAGCCGAAATCAAGTATTAAGCTTTGTCATGGATGTACCTTGTCTCTTCAGAAAGATTTCAAAACAAAGACATAATTCCTAGAGATTCTGTTCTATCACTACACACCATAAACAACTGTGGAAGGAAACAGTTTCAAAAAGTCCCCAAACTTTGTTAAAAGATTTCCTGGTACAGAAGAGAACAGAACTCAGTTCTGCTTGAACAACCAAGGGGAAAAGGTAATTTTAATCAAGAGCAACCCTCTCGCAGTGCAGGAGGAGGAAACTCTAAACAGACTGGCCATTATCAAATATCAGATATGCTCGTGACTAATCCCTAGGCAAATGCCACCTCTCTAACTCACCCACAGTATCAGTTTCCTCTTCTAGTAGAAGTAGATAAGGGCAAAAAAGGGCTCAGGAAAGCCTGCACCTTTCAGCATCAAGTTACTTTAAAGCCACACTTACATTTAGACACAAACATACCAACAATGACAGTACTGCAGACTGCTGTCCGCAGTGCTGGAAGAAATATGTATTTTTAAGCACAAGGACTGCCTTCTCTCTTGGAAAAAGCACACCCAAAGCTGAGAGAGAAGAGAAAGGCAGAGATGACAAGTGGACATGGACGCAGTATTGCTTCCAATTAAGACACAATTAAGCATCCCTAAGTCCTTTTAGAGGGCTGGTGACTGACAAAGGTTTAACTAAAGGTTTAAGTACAGCTGCTGATAGTTACACTCAATATCCACATGAAGCTCCTCTCAGTAACTTACAACTCTGTTAATGGTACATGGCATCACCACCAAAAAATACACAACACAACACAACTTTGCCTCAGGTTTTCCAAAGCAGGTTAGCACCAACTGCTGTGGGATTCTGTGGAAAAGCCTGAGTGCCGTAGCCTGTACCTTTTTATCAGATTACTAAGCTCCTCTATCAATACAAGAGTCTGCCAAAAGAAACCTGCAGCTTAATTCCTTCTCTATTCAAATCCTGCCCTGGACAGAGAAGAAAAAAATAAACTCCCACAGCCAGCGAGAGGTATGACTTTTTTAATCAGGTAACAAGGCTGCCGTCAACCAACAGCCCTGCAGGTAAAGCAGGACTATTAAAAACAAACAAAAAGCTTAAAAAGTTTGAGAGGATTTAATCATCAACACTCACTGAAGAGCAACTTACCCCTACTTAGACCTGAAGAAATGGACAAACCTCCACACTCCATGTATCACTTACCTCTCAGAACTCCCTTTTTGTTGTATTTCCTTGAGTCTGTCCACAAACTCAGCAAACTTCATCTCTTCCCTGCTCGACTTGGGTTTGAAGTTCTTAAAATTGGCCATCTTCTTCTCATCGTAGTACAGAAACTTGTGTGTGCTGGCACTGTACACTGAGAAGTCCCCACTGCCAATGTTTTCCTGGAGGTAGTCCAGGTCCCATTTCAGAGCAGGATAAACCAGATTCGTGTCTGTCAGCACCACGGGCTCCTGGAGAGAAATAGGAAGTTTATTGATTCAAGGACCTCTTGAACTTGAGAACAGTCATGTTCATTACTGCACCCACACAAACTCTCTTTGAAAAGGGGGAACTGGAAAAGGCACGTGGAGCAATCAGATCCCTTGTCCTGGGGAGAAAAACAAGCAAGGCACGATAGGAAGTTTTAAGAAAATGGTGGCCTGGAATTACAGTGAGCTCCTGGTAGCAATGGGACAGATTCCACTACCTACTGAGCTAATCCCTATCACAGAGGTTACACAAACACGAGCTGGGAACACTTTTAGGCCTGCCTGGTCCTGCCACGTAGCCAGGAGACACAGTGGACTCTGTCTGGTCCCTTCCAGCCTCAGCGGTGAGAAGGTCTTTACAAACACATACCTTTGCATCCAGAAACACAAACAGCACTTGTCTCAGACACAAACAACCTTCAGTCATCAAAAAACTGACACTACCCCATCTCCTCTACAGCAAAAACACCCTCCATGACAAAAGGAAGACAAAGGACACCACTCATCTCGTCATCTATCAGCAAGGAACGGCAGCGCCGTGTTCCCAAGCCGTGCGTGCCCAACATCCCTTCTTGCAGAGCTCCCTTGAACATCCAGCCGGGATCTCACCAACGCGAGACTGAGCTGGTCCCGGACCGACATCAGAGCTGCCACCCGCACTCAGAAAACAACCAACACGTGCCCGTGGTTTTACACAATGTTCCCACAGCTTCCATCCCGAAAACAAAGCGCTTAAAGCAAACGTTTCCTGCAAATGTCACAACTCAGCGCCGAAGGAAAACACCCGCTACGGCAAAGCGGAGCGGGACAGCGGCGGCGACCCCCGCGCGGTACGCCGGGGGGACAGGGCCAGGGCTCCCCGCACCTCGTTCTCGATGAGCTCCTCGGCGCGGGGGTCGCTGTGGCTCAGCCGCGGGATGGGCCGCGTCTCGAACGAGTAGCGGCGGAACTGCGAGTCGCTCCAGCCAGGCCCTGTCGCCACCGCCGGGCACTCCCGGCAGCTCGTGGCTGCTGCCGCCGAGGAGGAGGAGGAGGAGGAGGACGAGGGGGGGGAAGAAGAGGACGCAGAGGAGGAGGAGGACGAGGAGGAGGAGGACGAGGCCGCCGCCATCGCCGCCTCCGCCGGACAGCCCGGAGCAGCCAGCCGGAAGCGGAAGCTGCGCGCCCATGGCAACGCCGGAAGCGGGGGAACGGGGGAGCACCATCGAGAGCGCGGGACGGAGCGGCGGCGGCTGCGGCGTCAGCGCCCCCGCGCGGGGAGGTCGGGGGCGGCTCCGCTGCTCTCCGCGTCCCGGCACTTCCCAAGGATTTTGGGTATCTTTGGGGGCCGCGAGCACAGGCGGGAAAAGACCCACCGCGAAAAACAGAGGGGATCGTCTGGGAAGCCTCGGTGCCGGGCCCCGCATGCCTTCAGCCGGCAGACCCTTCCCCTCAAAGGCTGCGGGCTGGGCGGGATCGCTGCTCCTTGGGCATTTCTATTTCCCCGATGGAAACAGCGCACTGCCCGCTTCCTCTGCCTGCCTGCGGGAATTGCAGGGCGGAGTTCTGCGCCTCAAAACGAGAAGTTTAATTAACACGTACTGCCAAAAAATATACGTAACACTGCCCAGTGCAACCAACATCCAACTTCCAGTGGTGACTACATTGTTTTAGGAAGATTTCATGAGCTGTGTGACTGGGGCTGGAGCTGCTATTTTCTTATTGAACGTTTATCATGTGAGAGAAAGTCTACATTTGGCTTTTAATCTGCGAACAGCAAGAACGATGATTACACTTTCCCAAGAATACGTGCGACATTAGGCATCAGCTCTTGGGAAAATTTCAGTCCATGTCAGTCAGTGCTTTTCATCTTACAGAAGCTGGGATTTGTTGTTGTGGCTGCCTAGAACTTTGCCTTCATGAGAATGATGCAGTTGATTTCCCTCTGTCCTTCCAAAATTTATTAATATGCTTGGTTTCTAGGAAAATGAATGTCCCTTCACCCTCTAAGTCTAAAGCACTTCTGCTGTACGGGTTAACAAAAATTTTTTATAATGTATTTGCAAACATATTAGAGTGCTTTGGAAACGTGAACCATGTCTGTGGAAAACTCAAACGTAAGTCAGAAAATAAATACCCAGCGGTGAAGAGCTGATGTGAGAGGCAGCAAACCACAATCCAAGCCTGCAGAGAGGCCTGAGCCCAGGTCGAAGAGAAGCGAAAGTCCCTACTTCCAGCACTGTCCCCACACTCTTGTCCCCAGAGTGCCAAGTGCTGCAGGACCGGGACTGGCACCGAATGCTGCTCTACAGGAAACAGCAGCAGCATCTGCACTGGAGGGTGGGGCTCTGGGTTAAAGACTTTATTGGATAACCAGCTGAGTAACTTCACTGCATACTTGGTTGCAAGGGAGTTGGCTGAATTAAGATACCGTTCCCAAAATGAAATGACTAGGCCTTTCTTGGGAATAAGGGAAAGGATCCTGTTCTAGTAGGCAACTAGAACAGGAGGCCCCACCTTAAGGCATGCTGTATCTCAAGTATATTTTTGTGGTTCATCACTATCTTCATTCAGTTAGAAGGTTTACAATTAATGGTGTTATTAGAAGGAATGGCTTTAGTGACAAATTGTCTGTGGTAGTTTTTGAGCTGCAAAGGTTTATAATGTAAATCGTTATAGAGACATTACCCATTATGGCTGATGTGAATAACTGAAGGAAAATGAGTTCAACTACCAAAGAGTTTACATAATGAAGTAAACTACAAAATCCTTTTATGTTCATATTGATTTTATTTACAATAATACATTGCTTACGTTTGAGGAATCTCCTTGCTAAATTAACGTGCCATTTCAGCTGTCTGCCTTTTCCAGGCTCCATGGAGATAAGGCGATTACATTTGGATATTAACTTTAATAACATTGATACCGATACAAAAAAGGCAATTCACATAACGCCACCAGCCACGGCATCGATCCCATCGAGCATCGACCCGGCTGCTCCACAGGAGGCTGCCCCGCGTCTGGAACGCAGTGCCTGTCATAAATCCCCATTACTCCGCTTCAGACGACGGCAGGAAGGCGAAATATCGCACCAATGCCCTTTCCGTCCATTAGCGCTTGCGTCAATATCATAATAACAGCGGCTGATTAATTAACGCCCCGGACGGGCATTGGGAGCCGCGGCCAAGGCGGGGCGGGGCGGCCCCGCCCACAAACAAGCTCCGCCCATCACAGTGGCTCCGCCCCTCCGTGTTGGCCCCGCCCCGCTGGCTCCCCCCGCCCCTCAGTCCCTGAGGCGCAGCGGCCGCGCCTGCGCGCTGCGGCGGTGATGGCGGGCGCGCTGCGCGGTGTCCTCAGTGCCCGGGCGGCCGCGGCGCTCAGGGCGGCCCGGGCCGCTGTGGCGGCGCCGCCGGGGGCGCGGGCCGGTGAGAGGGGAGGCGGGGGCGAGGGCTCTCGGCCGGCGGCTGGGCCGTGCCTCTGGGGCGGCGGGGCCGGTGTCTGCGGGTCCGGGGCGGGAGGGCGGTGCGACCTCCCCGGGCTGGCGGCGGCCGCCGGCGGGGCCCGCGCCCACCCTGCCGCGTTCCTCTCCCGCAGCCTCGGAGATGTCCAAGGACATGCTGCCCGGGCCGTACCCGCGCACCCCGGAGGAGCGGGCAGCCGCCGCGAAGAAGTACAACATGCGGGTGGAGGACTATCAGCCCTACCCCGACGACGGCTTCGGGTGAGCGGGGTGGCCCTCCCGGCTTTGCGCGGAGGTGCTGCAGGCTGGTAGTCCCTGGTGAATGCCTGCCCGTGCTGTGAGCTTAGAGCTTTGAAGACACAACAGTGTTTCAGAAAGGGAACAAATGGAATGAGTTGGAGGCCTGTGTGAATAAAGTACGAGAGACTTCATGTGTTGTTGTAGTGCAGGGCTAACCCATCTCTAGAATAAAGATTTCAGAGGTTTAAATGTCAGGAATACTTTGACATGTGCCAAAACAACCAGCATTCCATATTTCAGTCAAGCTTGCAATTTCACCTAGTATAGCCCAAAAAGGCCACTTTGAGGAATGCCATTTGTTCCAGTGACTGGTATCAAAGTGATGATTGTTGTGCTAGTTGCTTTAATGCATTTTAAAAATGTTTATACATAAAAGCTATTAAAACAAAGTCATATTTAATTATTCTGTTTCTATAGGCCTATCCTATAGTGTTTCCTACAAAATGTATCTAAATTAGTACAGATTTCTTGTATGTTTGCTGTTTTGTTTGTTTCTCACAGGTATGGTGACTATCCCATGCTCCCTAATAAGTCTCATCATGAGAGAGACCCCTGGTACCAGTGGGACCAGCCAGACATGAGGCATAACTGGGGAGAGCCGGTAGGAACGCTAGTAGCATGTCTCAAGTCGCTCACTAATGCAGCTGTTAATACATGCACATGTTGTTAATGTTTTCAGTTGAACTCTGTGTAATTGCATCACCAGTGCAGGTGTGTGTTGCCTGTGCAGGCAGGGACAGTCAGTTCGAGGGAAGCTTAGGCTGTGGCCATCAGGGTAAATAATTTGGAAGTGCTGAGGACAGTTAACAGCTTATGAGGAGGGAGACTTTACAAACTTAACTTTCACTGTAGGAATAAGAAAGTCTCATCCATTTTATTTGCCTGATCTGACTCAGTACAAGAGCCTGGTTCAGAATTGTTTAGCAAAGAATCCATCATTTGAATAAAGTCCTTTTAGTACAGTGGAAGTAGCTGTATTGCTGTTTTATTACTCCAGGGATGTTTTGAGGTAGAATACAAATAAGAATGTTCTCTCTAAAGAAAGTTTGCAAGATGTCCTTAAGACAAATATGAATAAAGCACCTTATATTAACATTCAGAATCTAAGTTTCTCAAATTCCTTGTCAGGAGTAATTCTTCTCTTAGTGCATGTTCTTTTTGTGAATGACTGCAACCTGACTGGGATTACTGAGCTTGGTAATTGACTTGAGATCTCTTTATTAAAAGCAGAGTTTATGTAAGTACATGTTCACAGTGTATCATAGTATGAACATGCCAGAGCATTTCGACATGAGTACTGTGGCAAAGTGCATGTTGTAATGACTGTAAAAGCATATGGGAAAAAAACCCTGTGTTGATTCTGTGTTGTTGTAGTGCTTGCTATAGGAAGGCTTGTATACGAGCCCTTGCACGTGAGGTTAGCAGTGGGGAGCCAGGAGAAATACACTGGTGCATTCCAGCTCTCAGCAGATGCCTCTGTTTAGGCAACTTTGATTTCTGCTCAGTCTGGCTCTCTGGGTTTGGTAGCAAATGGCTCTATGGGAGGTAAGGCTGGGAATCTGGAGGCAGTACTTGAGCTGTAAATTAATACATTCTCTGCATTCATTAATGGGAAAGGAGACTATAGGCAGAACATGCTTGGCACTTTCCTAGGTATACTTGAAGGCAGAAGCTTAAACGTTCTTCTGCTTCCATCAGGAAGGGCATTAGCTTGTTACAGCCTAACTTGTTACCAGTTTTCCTGGAGTAACAGCTGCAGGTGCTCTACCTAATTGGAGGAACCAGCTTCCTTCCAAGGGTCAGGTAGTTGCTTCTTTGTTTGAAATAACACTGCTACTTCTGTTTGGATATGTCACTGGGCTTCTGTAAATTATGGTTTTGATTTCTGCCATGTTTTTCCAGTGGTGCTGGGGAGCAAAGCTGAGGTGGAATGATTACTTGTAGAAATAAAAGCTGCTGCTATCCTGTAATTAAGCATGTTGCCTGGTATAAGCATGGGATGAAATTTGGACTATTTTGAGTTTTGCTGTAAGCAACAATTTGTTGTGACTGTAGGTGAATCACTTACCTCCTGTGAGGTTTTATCTCCACTTTCGAGGTAGAGAAGAAGCAGCTTCTGGCAGTTTTGTGAATGCTGTAATGAACTACTTCCCTTAAGAAAAGCATCTTGGCCACTGTTGGTAAATGTGCAGTGGTTCTCCTTTGTTTTTCAGATGCACTGGGACTTTGACATGTACATTCGGAACCGGGTAGATACATCCCCCACAGTAGTTCCCTGGCATACCATGCGCAAACACTTCCTTATCTTTTTGAGTACCATGCTGATCATGTTTGGCATTGGAGAGATCTATCCATCTTACAGGCCTGTGGTGAGTGAAACCCAAGGGTAGAGGGAGGAAAAGTAGCTGTGTTTCTTGTCACTGCCAGTGCCCAGAGAAGTGGTTTGTCTGAAGCTCAGTGGTGGATGTGAATGCAAAACCCTACTGCTGTCAGGGGCTGGGCCAAGGGATGTTCTGTAGCCTCATCTAACCTGAGTGGTTCTCTTGGCTGGCTTGGTTCATCTTACAGATTCTGTTTCATAGTGAGCAGGTCCTCTTCAGAGGGAATTAATTTTAAGCTATGCTTCTCACAGTATCTTTTCTTTGGTCTAGGTATTCTCCTTTCCTGTGTGCATCTGCTTAAGTGAGATGCTCTCTTCTCTTGCCCTTTTTTTTTAGTTATATCTCATGATTTGTATCGTTTGGAAAATGCAGCCTTGAAAAATGTATCTGAATACACAAACAGCTTTTGCAATATATTGCCCTCATGCTGTGAGATGAACTGTTGATTAAATGCAATACTACCTTGATGTTTCTACTCAAGGACATGGGTTTATACAAAGAACTCCCATTTCTGAATTTACTTTCCTCATGCTCTAATATTCTGGTTGAAGCACTTAAGAAACAGAAATTCAAGTTGTAAATGGCAAGCCTTGATTTGAGTGGGGGTGGGATGGGATGAGACATTTGCCTTGTACCTCCTAATTTGCTTGGTGAATGTGGTGAATTTGCCACTCTTTATCTCTCTTTGTAGGGACCGAAGCAATATCCCTTCAATGACCTGTATCTGGAGAGAGGAGGAGACCCCAATAAAGAGCCACCAGCGGTCGTACACTATGAAATTTGAAAGTTGTTCAAGTGCAATGAGTCCTGTCAGCTCTGCTAGGGATGGAATCTTTGCTAGTGTTCACTGTGGCATATGTTAACACTCGTTCTGCAATGTTCAACCACTAACTGCAGTGAAATACATCAATTGACACCTATTGTGTTAGTTGTCTTCTGTTGGTTTGAGAAGGCTGAATTATAGCTGATGAAATTTTGCCATTTTTCTAAATGAGGATAGTATCTGTGGGGCAAAGTTCTGAGTGCAGTCCTAGGGCTGCTGCTCATTTAAGTACCTTGTGCACAAACATTTTTCAGCTCTGCCTGTTTATGAAATACTACCTGTTGCCAAGTGGTTTACTGCAGGTGCTGCTTGAACTGGAGTGTCACCAAATACTGTGAAATGACAGACAGAACCAGACTGGCAACTACCAGTCCTTGGGAGTCTTACACTGTGTGAATAACTGTCTGCCCTTTTGACTTTGATCTCTTCCTGGTCTAGGTGCCCTCTCAAGTGAAGTTTGTACGACCAGTAGGAAGCACTGGTGAGGCACAGAGCTTTGCAGCGAGTAGCTTGAAGCTGATAGCAGAGCTGTGTGGACGGCAGTGGCATGAAGGGGCTAATGAGCAAGTTCAGCTTTGGCCACACATGTTCTGCTGCCCCTGGGCTTTGGTTCAAACACACAGGTGCCCAAGTTGCTCCTCTATGGCCTGAGCTCATCCACCTGGGCTGGAGTTACATCTGTCCCATGAAGTCTGCCTGTCTTGCTGCAAACCACTGGTTTGGGGCCTCCTGTGGCTTCAGTGGCAGTTTTCTTGGGAAAGGTATGAATACCATTGTATTAAGCTCCTAGATTTGTTCAGCTCCACTCTTCCTTTAACGGATTTTTTTTTTTTCCTCCTTGTTACTGGAGGAGAAGATGGTACCTTCAGTACTAATTTACAGTGAATGTTCTTTTAACTCCCCTGTGCTATGCCTTAGATCCCGCTGTAGCAGTGGGTGATCAGAAAGGCCGAGGGCTTGGGCTGCTCTGAGTGCTTCCTATAAACTGGATGCTGTGTTCTGCTTTCAGCAGAGCAGCAGGTATATAAAGACAGCAATTTATGATTTTTCAGTCTGTAAAGATTTTTTAACCCCAAATTCTAAGGGATTCTAGGATCTTTGTGTAGAGGTTTCTATAAGGATATATGGTCAAGGGATTTATGGGATTGAATGCTAGGACATAGTTTTATTTACATATAAATATTCATAACTCCTTTGGAGATGCTGAGCAATCAGCATTTCTCAGGGCTTTTGTAAGCTGTCACCTCTTCTAGTTACAGAAATGCTTTCTTTTAAATTATGGTCAATGATATTTTACCCCAGAAGGGTTTTTGAAGTGTTTTTTGAGCTATGGGCACCTTAAAACTGAAATCTGTTGTATGGGGTAACACACCTCTTAGGGATACTCGAGCAAGAATTACCATTCCACAGCAGTTATGTGACAGCACTTTATACAGTGTTATGAGAGTTGCAAGGAGTCTTCAAGTGAAATGAAGATGATCGGAGCAGTAATAGGAGCCTTGGTGTGTGTAGCACTTGCAGCGAGGCAGATTGAGGCCCATCCAGTTCATGGCACAGTGTACCAGTGCTGCCTGCTGCTGCCTCATTGGGGGACTTCCAGTTTGTTCTAACTGGTAACTTCATTATGGTTTTCTTCATGGGGAAGGCATAATGGGTTGGGCAGATAATATATCTCAGAAGTCGTCAAAAATGGGCTTTGTAACATAGGCAATTTTCTCAAAACCAGGAGAGAGATGAGGGAAGGAGGTCTGGGGCCTTCTGCATTTTTTTCCTGGTAATTAAAACACTTTTAGAAAAATATATTCCTTTCCCTTATGCACCCTCTCCTAGGACTGATTAAATCTGTAGCTGAGGCAAAGTCCTGAGCGGGGCGACTGCAGGGGCAGTAGAGCCGGCTGCAGCTCTGGTGGCCTTGAGCGGCGTGACCCGGCCGTGCGGGGCGGACGGGGCCGGAGCGGCGGGCGCTGCTGCGGGGATGGCGGGGCGGGGTTCCGGGGCGGGGCGGCGCAGGCGCGGCCGGGCGGGCTCCCCGCGGCCACCGTCGGACGCCGGGCTGGGCAGCGAGCGGCGCGGAGGGACGGCAGGAGCGGTAAGGGCCGCCCGCCCCCTCCCCGCCGCCGGCCCGGCGCCCTCACACACCGCCCCGGCCCAGGGACCGCCCCTGCCCTGCCCTTCCGCGCCCCCGGTCCCCCCAGCCCAGGGCTGCTGTGCTGCCCCGCCCGCCCCTCCCCGCTGTCGCTGTCATGACTCCGTCCCCAGGGCCCGTGGCCCCGTCCTTGCCTCGGGAGCCCCGGATCCCGTTTTTGAGCGGCCGGGGAGCTCCGCTGAGTGACCTGGGCCGCGGAGAGGCCTCTGGCGTAGCCCAGAGCCTGTGTGTGACAGTGGGTGTCCGAGGGCAATGCTTTCCTCCTAGACCTTCGCTCGTATTCACCGTCCCACTGTGTAAGGCTCGGACGAGCTGCCTTGGGACGTGCGCGCACTGCCGTCTGAGCAGTGCCGTGCCATGGGCAACAGCTTCTCAAAGTGCGCAGAGCATGAGAAGTTTCTTTATATACCACGGGAGCTGTCATGGAGGAATGTGCTGAGCCCTGCCCTGCAACAACTCCACCTTGCACACACCAGTGATTAGCTGAGATTAGTGTCCCTGTAATCGGGGTTTATAATAAGCACGTATGAGAACAACCTGGCCATAGGGTTTTGGGGAGCTGTGAAAGGAGAGTGTCAGAGTAGTGCAAAGGGAAGGGGCAGTACAGAGATTTTAAGTTGATGCTGGGATGTGGAAACTATAGGCGCACTTTGTGTCTTAACGATTGTGTCATGGCTGAGGTGCCTTTTTGAGGTCTTAGGGTGTCTGCTTGTCCCCCGGGTGACCTTGGACAAGTCTTTTTTGTTCTGCCCAAGTTTCACTTCTAACTAAGTGGGGGAGATCAGCTTATCAGCTCCTTTGTGTCCAGTGCTGGAAGTCCAGTATCAGCAGGAACTGTTCAGAGAGGAATGGTTGTGTGTCCAGTGGCACGAGGAGGATTGGGAAAATCAGTGGGAGGAGATTTCTGATTGACAGTGTTTGGGTGGTGCAAGAGAGAGAAGACCTCACTGGAGTGACACCAGGGATAATTATCATGACAGCTTTGAGGGTCAATTAGCTCATAAAACAACAACCATGGTCTTTTACAATGTACTGTAAACCTACGAGTATTTCAGTTTAACACAGGTGAGGAATTTTTGTCTCTGTCAGCATTATTTGCATGGTCATTGTGATTTGAGATTGTGTGTTTTTAATTTTCACCGTTTGTTTCTCTGGTGAGGAGTGCTCTGATCTGTCAGGTTTTTCTTTGCAGATACTTTAAGACCACTGTGTAAGAAAGCCACAGCTTGGGAAGGCTGTGGGGAAATGATGCTTCTGTCCTTTAACTCCCTTTGGGGCTGAGATTCCTTAATACATTAGATCTGTAATCAGATATATGTCTGTAGAAGGAGTGTGAGGAATTGTCATGATTAATTAATTCGATGTCCTGAGAAAAGCATGAGCTTTCTCAGAAGTCTTAGAGGCTATATTGAGAGATGACAGCAGGTGGCAACCTCTCCCCAAAAATTCTAATGTGGAAGCGTTCAATACTGGTGAATTTTTCTCAGGCAGCGACAAGAGTTTGCTAAAGAAGGGCTTTTTCCTGCTTTAAGGATCGTGAGTCCTGTCCTAGATACAGATGTGCACAGTGTATAGAAGGATCAGTTCTCTTAAGAGTATCAGTTCTCTAAGAGTAAGACTCAAATCAGGCATTTTTTTCCTTTCCAAACTCAGAGCCCACTCCATTTAGGATGAGGTGTTGCTGCACCTCTGTAGAGCCTCAGTTGCAGTGGAACTGAACTGATGGGAGGTTCTTAAGAGATGGTGTGATCCTGTGATCTTTTGGCTTCTTACACATCTTCTGTGGGCCTTCTCAAGTCTGTTGGAACCACTGCTGGTTTGCCTTCAGGACCATGGACACAGTGTACCTGTGATCCAGAACTTCTGGTTGTTCTGTTGACATTGAGCCACTCTAAATGGTGTCTGTCTTGTTTGCTTTCCTGCATCTAGGTTTGTTACCGTGACCAAGACACTTTACCTTCACATTCTGTCCTGACTTAAATTGGTGAAAAGAGAACAGCAGTGTTGACTTTCTTATGCAAAACATTCTATTGACAAGAAAAGCCAAACAGTTGATCCATACTGTTCTGCACAATTTTGGCACCTTTTCTTTGTTTGCACCTTAAATGCAAATTATGCCAGCCATGCAGTCAGTCCAGCACAGAGGTAAGGAGTGGGAGCTCCTACCGTTCACCCAAGTTTCTGATAGTTACACTCTTCATTGTTTCCTTACCAGTTAATTTCCTAGAGGGAAGAGGTCTCTTGGCCATTGTCTATTAATGTTTACAGGGAAGTTGCCCTCTCAAAAGCCAAGAAACAGTGAGGCCTGGATGTAGTCAGCTCCTACAACTGATGGATTATAACTGGAGGAGGAAGGGGCAAGAAAGGGACTGGTAAGGAATGTACCACCTGTCCTGCCTGCCCATGTCTGGGGAGTCAGGTAGAGCCTTGTGCAATAGGCTGTTTTTAGCAGATTCACCTGACTTCTCCTGGGGATATTTTCATTCCCCTCTGCTGATGAAGGGAGGAGACCTGGACAGTGTCCCTGCACAAATCAGTAGGCACTGGAACATCTTGGTGTAGGGAATGTGGTAGACCCCTAAGGAGTTCCACACAAAATATGCACTGGAAGACAGGAAAGTAACTTTTAGAGATCTGTTATGGTGATGAGGACATGACCTTTCCACCTCTATTCCTAGGGTGCATGACGAAATAGTTGCACTTCTGTAATTGTACAAGAGGTCTGTTCAGATTCCTTTGGGCCTTAGCTAAGTTGGGATAAGGTTAATGTGAGAATAGCAGTAGGCAGTTTGAGCTTTGGGGGATACTGCTGCAGACTAATGCTGAAAAACATTAAATAGATTCTAGTCAAGCACCGTATCCTGAAAGTGCATGGGGGAGAGAGAGGATGTCCTTAACTTCTGACTGGTGGTGGAGAAGAAACCCTAAAAAGGGTGTAGAGTTGTTAGCTA